ACTCTGGGCCTGGGTGCTGCTCCTGAGCTTTTCAGCTCAAAGCAAGTGCTCTACCACTTGAGCCATAGTGCCACTTCTGATTTTCTGGTGGTTTATTGGAGATAAGAATTTCATGGGGTGGGCTGGGAAGGTGGCTCAGTGGAATAGCGCTTGCCTTGCATGCATGAGGCGCTATGTTCCATTCCTCAGCACCACACAAGCAGAAAAAAAAGCCGGAAGTGGCGCTATGGCTCAAGTGGTAAAGCGCTAGCCTTGAGGTGAAGAGCTGAGGGACAGTGCCCAGGCCCAGAGTTCAGGCCCAAAACCGGACCCCCCCCCAAAAAAAAAAAAGCTTGAGGCTGGGAAGGTGGCTCAGTGGTAAAGCTCTTGTCTAGCATGCATGAGGCCCTGGGTTCGATTACTCAGCACCACATAAACAAAAAGAAAAAAGCTGGAAGTGGCGCTGTGGCTCAAGTGGTAGAACGCTAGCCTTGAGCTGAAGAGTTGAGGAACAATGCCCAGGCCCAGAGTTCAGGCCCACAACTGGACCAAAAAAAAAAAAAAAGAATTTCATGGGGGCTAGGAAGGTAGCTTAGTTGTATAGTGCTTGCCTCGCATGCATGAGGCCCTGGGTTCCATTCCTCAGCACTACATAAACAGAAAAGGTCGGAAGTGGCACTATGGCTCAAGCGGTAGAGCACTAGCCTTGAGCTGAAGAGCTGAGGGACAACACTCAGGCCTAGAATTCAAGCCCCAGGAACGACAAAAAAAAAAAAAAAGACTTTCATGCCTGTGTTGGCTTCAAACCTCAATCCTCAAATCTCAGCCTCCTGAGTAGCTAGGATTACAGGCATGAGCCACTGGCACCTGGCCCCGAGAGACTTTTATCTCTATTTAATCAGCTAAGAACTGAAATATGGATACTGGGTCTAAGTAACACCATCTTGTCCTCACTGCCATCTTGCTGTCCAAATAGATGATGGGGACTTTTTGCCCAGTTCTAACAATTCTAGAGGTGATAGAGATCAATCTGTGAACTGCAGATGTGTCAAGGGTTGTTTAGCTCCAGGAAAGTCTTGCTCCAAGGAATTCTTGCCCTAAGCCCCTGATTGTTCCACCCAGCTTGCTTTGCTTCTGTAAACACACTTTTTTGGGGGGGAAGGGAAGGGTCTGGTCGTGGGGCCTGAACTCTGGGCCTGGGCGCTGTCCCTCAGCTCTTCAGCTCAAAACTAGATTACAGGCGTGAGCCACTAGCGCCAAGCCAGTCATGTCATTTTTGCCTATAGAAGCTTCCTATTAACTGCATTAGAGGCTGCAAATTCTTTTGGGACATGAGTCTGCTCGCAGTTGCCAACTATGTAATAAAGAAAACTTGACCTCTCAAAGTGTGGCTTCTCTGTAATCTCGCTGATGGAATTCCTGTATAACACAACTAGAAGTAGATCTGTGGCTCAAGTGGAAGAATGTCAGTCTTGAGTAAAAAAGCCTAGTGAGAGTGCAAAGCCCTGAGTTTCAGTTCCAGGACTGGCACTTAAAGAAAAGGTGTGTGTGGTGGTGGGGTGGGGGAGGCTGGACTGGGAATGTGGCTTAGCATGCATGAAAGCCCTGGGTTCGATTCCTCAGTACCATATAAACAGAAAAAGGTGGAAGTGGCACTGTGGCTCAAGTGGTAGAGTGCTAGACTTGAGCAAAAGAAGCTCAGGGACAGTGTCCAGGCCCTGAGTTCAAGCCCCAGGACTGGCAAAAAAAGAAAAGATAGATGTGAAGCTTGGTGAACAGCTTCTTGCACTGGGCTGGCTTCTGCCCTTCAGGAGCAATCTAATATTAGATGGAGAAATTGAGATTAGGTCCCACCACACCTCCTCCAGAAGTGCTAAACAGGTGAAGTGACTTGCCAAAGGACACCCAGCTGTTTGGTGGTTGGCTTGGGCCTAGGAGGCATCCTGGCTCGATGCCCCTGTGGATGGCAAGTGTCCTGGCTGCCTGGAAGTATGACAGCCCCAGCAGGGGTGTTGAGGCCAGGTCAGGACTCTGAGTGGAGTGGCCAACCTGGCTGTGTCCTCAGTGTCCCAGAGGGTGAGGGGTGATGTCTTACCCTCCTCCCAGGCTCTAGGTCTATCAGCAGAGCTGGCTCTGGAATGGTGCCGCCTCAGGACAGACTGCTGGGAAGACTGGCCTAAAATTGAGGCTGAAGCAAGGACTGGATCTAGTTTCTTCAGCTTCCCCTGGCAGTTAACTCCAAACACTAGGAAGTACTTAGCCTACCTTCTTTTTCTCCCTTTCCTTAGTCATAATCTAATCATCCTCTCAGATAGTTCTTCCTGGCTGAACCTTCCAGCAAGCTCTTTGGATGATCTAGAATTTTTTGTTTCAGTACTGAGGCTTGAACTCAGGCCCTGGACATTGTCTCAGAGCTACTTTGCTCCAGGCTAGCACTCTACCACTTGATCCACAGTTCTATTTCCAGCTTTTTTTGGTGGTTAATTGGTGCTAGGAGTCTCAGGTACTTTTTCTGCCTGGGCTGGCTTTGAACCATGATCCTCAGCTCTCAACTCAGCACCTTGTGGATGCTTTAGTCTTTAGACTCAGCCCTACCCATTCAGATGAGCACAGTAAGCCTTTGTACCAGGCCTTGGGGGCACCACCCTGTCTCTGCCTGAGCTGACTTTGATGCTGTCCCCTTAACACCTTGAGAAATGATTGGCTTTCTTCCGGGACAGTTTGTAAGCTTTCAGGGTAGTATACCAGAGCTTAGTAATTTTTTTTTGTTGTTGTTATTATAAAGGTGATGTACACAGGAGTTAGAGTTACCTAAGTCAGGTAACATTCCTCCTCTTCCTCCCTCTCCCCCCCCCTTCTCCTCCTTCTCCCCCCCCCCCCCCCCCTCCTCCTCCTCCTTCTTCTTCTTCTTCCTCTTCCTCTGTCACAGGGCTTTAACTCAGATCCTGGGCACTGTCCCTGAGTGATTGTGATTTTACTCAAGGCTTGCACTCTACCACTTTGAGCTACAGCTCCACTTCTGATTTTCTGATGGTTAATTGGGAGATAGAGTCTCACAGAAGCCAGGTACAGATGGCTCATACCTGTAATCCTAGCTACTCAGGAGACTGAGATCTGAGGATCATGGTTCAAAGCCAGCCTGGGCAGGAAAGTCTTGAGACTCATCTCCAATAAAACCACCAGAGGGGCTGGGAAGGTAGCTCAGTGGTAGAGTGCTTGCCTTGCATGCATGAAGCCCTGGGTTCAATTACCCAGCACCATATAAGCAAAAAAGAAAAAGCCGGAAGTGTTGCTGTGGCTCAAGTGATAGAGCACTAGCCTTGAGTTGAAGAGCTGAGGGACAGTGCCCATGCCCAGAGTTCAGGCCCAGCGACCAGACCCAAAAAAATAAAAATAAAAATAAATAAAACCACCAGAAACCTGGAGTGGTAGAGTGCTCACCTTGAGCTGAAGAGCTAAGGGACAGCGCCCAGGCCCAGAGTTCAAGCCCCTTGACTGACCAAAAAAAAAAAAAAAAAAAAGTCTCACAGACTTCTCATGCTAGCTTTGAACTATGATTCTCAGATCTCAGCCTCCTGAGTAGCTAGGATTATAGGCATGAGCTACCAGCACTTGGCTAAAAGTACATTTTTTTTTGGACAATGTCACTCCTTCCCTGGCTCTCTCTAGTAGCTCTTTGGGAAACAGAGGTAGTTGGAATGCACAGGCTGAGTCCCTAGGACAGCTGGGAAGGGGCGGTGGGAGGTCAAGGGCTTTCAGAATGCCATCCTAGAAACAATCAGATAACCAAGGACCTGTTGATTAAGAAAAAAAATCTACTCGGGCGCCGGTGGCTCACGCCGGTAATCCTAGCTACTCAGGAGGCTGAGATCTGAGGGTGAGGTTCAAAGCCAGCCTGGGCAGGAAAGTCCGTGAGACTCTTATCTCCAATAAACCACTAGAAAACCAGAAGTGGCACTGTGGCTCAAGCAGTAGAGTGCTCTCCTTGAGTTGAAGAACACAGGGATAGTGCCCAAGCCCAGAGTTCAAGCCCCACGACTGACCAAAAAGAAAAAGAAAAAAAATCCACTGACTTTGTTTTAGAAGGCCATTTAATTATCAACACCAAGTTTATTTTGATTTAAAATTTTATTGCATGAAAAGGAAATAAAAATCTACACAAAACAAAAGTAAAACCTAAACAAACTCACTGACAGAAGATGATCAAGGTTCTAACTCCACTCTTCAAATCTTACATTTAAAAAATTCCAAAAGAAATAGAAATACAGGCTTCAAAAATATTTATCCAAAAAGTAAGGCATCCACTTTACAAAAGAAAAATAGTAATTGAAGAACGGTAGGAGACAGGAGAAATGAGAAGAGGGAGATCAAAAAGCTGGTCCCTTAGTCCTCCACAGAGGCTCTCCCTAGCCTGCCTGAAGTCTACTCTGAAGGGCTGGAATTCTCACCAAGTAGAGATGGCAGGAGCCATGTGGGAAGCTGGGAGACCTGACTCAGGCCATGAGGGGTCCCTTGGGTATTCCAGTTTCAGCAGATGGAATGGGGGGGTTGGGTGTTCCTGCTTGGGATAAAAGGATCCTGTCCTTAGCACAATAGGTATGGCTGGTAAGGCTGTACAGCCAGGGCAAACACCTTCCTTTGGAGCAGAGGGAAAAGGTCAAAAGCCTGCATAGCACAGAGAAAGCACTTTCCTAGGATCCCCAAAGGGGTGCCATTCTGCTACTGCCCTTCCATCCTGCCCCAAGATAGGACAGTGGTGAGGTCAGAAAATGAAGAAGACAACTTGAATTGGGGAGGGGAAGAGGAACTGATGCATGTGTGTGTGTGTGTGTGTGTGTGTGTGTGTGTGTGTGTATGTGTGTGTCTGTACCAGTCCTGGAGCTTTGAACTGGACCTAGCCACTGTCCCTGAGCTTTTCCTGCTCAAGGCCAGTGCTCTACCACTGGAGCCACAGCTCCACTTCAGGCTTTTTGGTGGTTAATTGGAGATGAGTCTCAGGGATTTTCTTGTTTGGGTTGGCTTTGAACCATGATCCTCATATCTCAGCCTCCTGAGTAGTTAGGATCAAAGCCATGAGCCACCAGTGCCCATCCAGCAAGGAACTGACTTTTACAAAACATGTTCTCTACCCAGTCCCCCCAGCTTGTGGAATGGGCAGCTGTGGGGAGTGGGAAATAGCCCTTCCTCCCAGAGAAGGTATTTTAACACCAGTCCCTCCTGAGGGGTAGAAATAAGTCGGATAATTTTAGGCCCAGTTCTTGAATGGGAAGTGACTCAAAGCTGTTTGGCTCCTATTCGGTTTCAGGCCTGAAGGGCTTGCGGATCCTTCACACCTGGTCCCTGAGCCAAGGCCCAGAGGACGTGGAGGTCATGGTAAGGGGAACCAGCAGTACTGGCTTGGTGCGGCTGTGTTGTATTCCTTAGGGGACAGGGAGGAGCATCTGAGAGGTTTGGTCTTTTGGAGAGAGTCATCTTCTATACTGTGAATAAAAAGTCTTTCTGGCTTCAGAGAGCATTGGCACCATGTTCAGAGCAGGATGCAGGAGGAGGCAGAGGCAGTGCTTGGGTTCCTGCAAGCTGAGCCTTTCCCCAGGTGTTCTAGCTTAGAGCTGAGGGAGGGGACAGTCTTCCTGCTCTTGGTCCACAAGTCAGTGGGGAGGAGGGATCCTGAAAGGAATCTTTCTGGGACAGGAAGGCCAGGTTGGATAGGAAGAGGAGTAGTGGGAAAGAGAGGGTAGAGGGAAGCAGCCCCTCTGACTTTTGGGTCTCTGGTGAACAGACAGGGGTTTAGGTCTCTCCAAGCTGATCTTCATCTGCGTCTGTCTTCACCAACCAACTCACTGTGGCCACTTGTCTCAGAACACAGGCTTTCCTGGGGCTCAGGAATGGGGAGGGAAGGCAGTAGTGAATTCAGGTATAAGAGGAACCTGAGGCTGTGGGCCCAGGAGGCAGAGCCCTCAAGGGCACCCTTGGCATCTCCACTCTCCTTTAACATTTGGAGTATGGGCAGCCCTTGTATGGGGTCTCAGACATGTGCCCTCGGGTGAGAGGCTGGTTCTTTGGGTACAAATGTCAGTCTATTATTTTTCACCACTCACACCTAAGACCTGTTCCTGCCTGATAGAGAAGTAGAGGTGGTGTGTGTGCGTGGTGTGTGTGTGCGTGGTGTGTGTGTGTGTGTGTGTATGTGTTGGATACCCAGGCAAGGAAACAGGGCAGAAAAGGAGGATAAAGGAGGAGTAGCTAGGTGAGCAAGTGAGAACATGGTGGATCTCAGGGCTGGGGATGCTCCATTGAGTCCTGGTCCTTGGTGGGAGTGGGTTGGTACATGGGTTGCTGTTGCTGCTGGTCCTCCTCCATGTCCTCACTTGTCCCATCTAGCCCCGAGTCCCCCTCCATCTGGGGATAAACGACCACACACAGCTTCTGGCTCACCAGGGTTAGCAACTCTGTGGAAGGGGAGCAGACAGAAACCAAGTCAGTGCTGACTGTCCCATCGACCCCACCAGCCAGCTCATGGCACTAGCCAGCTATTCTCATTCAGGTTTTACTGTAGTGGAGCAGCCAATGGCTTTTGGAGACTCACTCTTCAGGGATGGCTATTTTGTCAGACTCTTATGTGTTCTGTCTGCTGTTGCTCGCTCACTGAGGCCCCAGCCTTCCATCTTCCTGGTACTCACTGAACCCAGAGTCTCTGCTAGCCTCTATTCAGCCTGGGACAGGTCCTGCAGTACAGCTGGCAGGCTGTCTGTTCTTACTCAGCTAAGGTCTGTGTGAGAACATCAGCTGTTCTTTTCTCTCCAGGGGTATTGGAAAAGCATCTGCCACTCTGGCTCCAACCCCTTCTTGAGAGCCCTGTGGACTCAGGTGAAGGTGAACCATTACTTCCTTTTTTTTTTTGTTGGTCATGGGGTTTGAACTCTGGGCCTGGGCGCTGCCCCTGCACTCTTCAGCTCAAGGCAAGCGCTCTACCTCTTGAGCCACAGCACCACTTCTGGTTTTCTAGTGGCTTATTGGAGATCAGAGTCTCATGGACTTTTCTACCCAGGCTGGCTTTGAACCATGATCCACAGACCTCAGCCTCCTGAGTAGCTAGGATTACAGGTGTGAGCCAACGGCTCCCAGCTACTTCCTGATCCTGACTCTGGGTGTGTGTACCAGTACTAAGCTTAAATTTAGAACCTTGGATTCTTTCCTTTGTCATGGGGCTTGAACTCTGGGTCTAAGCGCTGTCCCTGAGGTTTTTCACTCAAAGCTAGTGTCCTATGACTTTGAGCCACAGCACACTTCTGGTTTTCTAGTGGTTAAATAGAGGTAAGAGTTTCATGGACTTTCCTTTCCCAGGCTGGCTTTGAACTGTGAGCCTCTGATCTCAGCCTCCTGAGTAGCTAGGATTATAGGTGTGAACCACCTGCACCCAGCTAGAAACTTAGATTCTTTTTCTTTTTTTTTTTTTGGGGTCAGGTCATGGGGCCTGAACTCTGGGCCTGGGAGCTGTCCCTCAGCTCTTCAGCTCAAGGCTAGCGCTCTACTACTTGAGCCACAGTGGCACTTCTGGCTTTTTTCTTTTTGCTTATGTGGTGCTGAGGAATCGAACCCAGGGCCTCATGCATGCAAGGCAAGCGCTCTACCACTGAGCCACCTTCCCAGCCCTGGAACCTTAGATTCTTGTTTAGCTCTTTTGCTCAAGGCTGGTGCTCTACCATCTGAGCCACACCTCTACTTCTGAATTTTTTATTTTTTTATTTTTTGCTGGTTAGAGAGTTTCTCAGATTTTTCTGCTAGGGTTGGTTTCAAATCCTCAATCTAAGTCTCATGAGCAGCTACGATTACAGGCATGAGCCACTAGCACTTGGCTGCTTCTTGATCTTGATATAACTCCCCTAACAAACTGCTGATCACCCTGTACCAGCTCTGGAGCCCCCCCCTACACACCCAGAGCCACAATAACTCACCAATAAAACCATTGAAACACTTGGGCTTGTGTTGCCAATAGACACCCAGGAAATAGACTGGCACCCCTGTCAGCATGATGGCCAGGCCAATGCCACACACCACTGGCTCAGACCACAGGCTGAAGATCAGCAGGAAGGCCCAGAACAGCAGGTAGATGATGGGAAACAGCAGGCTGACCTGTGGAGAGAGGCTTTGTGAGCTGTTTGGCCCTCACCACCCTCCAGATCAAGACACTATCTCTCTTCTTCACCCTTATCTTTCAGGGCAAAGGCTGGGCTTTGCTCAACCCTGAGGCTCATACCCCCCAGCTCTGATGGGACAAATGCTATGTCCACAAATGTTGGTGAACTTGGCCAGTGTGATACTAACAGGATGGGGAAGTAGGGAAGGAAGGATCCTCATTGCTCATGTCTTCTATGCTAAGTGGGGTCAGACAAGGCCTCAGGATCCATGGCAAGCACTTATGGTAGCCAGGGGAATCCATGAGGATCAAGCTTACTAATAACATATAATACTTGCTGAGGTCCTAGGGTAGAGGAGAGGCAGGGAAGAAATAATCTGGGTCTGTGTGGCTCCTGGCTCCCCACCATCGCTAGGTAGGGCTCATAGGAGAACACCATAGCAAGTGTCCCTCTTTTTTTTTGTCGGTTGTGGGGCCTGAACTCTGGGCCTGGGCACTGTCCCTCAGCTCTTCAGCTCAGGGCTGGCACTCTACCACTTGAGCCACAGCGCCACTTCCTGCTTTTTCTGTTTATGTGGTGCTAAGGAATCGAATCCAGGGCCTCATGCACGCAAGGCAAACACTCTACCACTGAGCCACCTTCCCAGCCCTTCTTTTTATTTCCTCCCTAGGATCAGCCTCAATGGAGAAGTAAATAGAGAAGATAAATCCACTAACTCCCAAGTAATCAGGAAAGCTAGTGTAAGGTCCATTCCTGGATGGTGAGCGGACCCCGTCCAGTACCTGCGTAACCTAGGCAACTGGGACACCTGGAAGAGGTCACATCTGCATCCGCTGAGGTCACATCTGAATTTGATGTGGCCACATCTTTCTCCTACTTGGTCCCACCTCCTCTTACCTGGTTCCACTTCCCTTTACCTGGACACACCTTTCCCCGCCCCTACCCTAGATAAGGCCTAACCCAGGGCCAGACGCTCTTTTGCCACCCAAGTGGACTGCCAACCTGTCCTGGTCCCAGCAGGTCTACTAAACAAACCTACCCCTTACCTGAATGCCACGTGTGTGGTGCTGTTCTTACTCAGCTTCCTCTTTTGATAAACCTAACTGCTAGCACAGCATATATAGGCTGGGGTCTGGACTTTAGTTCATACAGATGCATCAATTCCATGGGATTCACCCTTGCTTGATGAGCACATGTTAGGGTTCCCAAGAGAAGCTTCTTCAGTACTTAGGGGTAGCTGGGGGTCAGCTGCCTTCTTCTTTGCGTATCTTTCTCAGAGGGTTCTGAGAGGGGATGGTTGGGGTAGGGAGATTGTTATTCTACTTCCTCTAGCAGAATGTTTTGTTTTGTTTTGTTTTTGGATACCAGTATTGGAGACTAAATTCAGGGTTTTTTGCTTTCCCTTAGCTTTTCCCTTAAGGCTGGTGCTCTGCCATTTGAGCCACATCTTCCCTTCTGGACTTTTGCTGGTTAACTAAAGAGTCTTTCAGATTTGTCGGTCAGGGCTGGCTTTAAACCTTGATCCTCAGATCTCAGACTCCTGAGTAGCTAGGAGTATAGGTATGAGCCACAGGTACCTAGCTCTACCAGATTTTTTTTTTTTTTTTGGCCAGTCATGGGGCCTGAACTCTGGGCCTGAATTCTAGGTGCTGTCCCTCAACTCTTCAGCTCAAGCTAGCTCTCTAGCACTTGAGCTACAGTGCCACTTCCTGCTTTTTCTGCTTATGTGGTATTGAGGAATTGAACCCAGGGCCTCATGCATGCAAGACAAGCACTCTACCACTGAGCCACCTTCCCAGCCCTCTACCAGATTTTTTAAGAGTGGAGGAAAAAGTAGCAGGGAAAATGTCAGAGGGATATTGAAAAAGCTGTAAAGCAATCTATTTCTTGTCTTGAAGAATCATTTAGATTCTTTTTCAATGATTGCTCAGATAGCTCTGGGCTCTATTCTTCTAATCAGCATTCTAGGAATCTAATCCATTTTTATCACAGCTTGTTTTTCAGTAGCAATTATCAAATACTCTGAGCACCCTACTCAGTGCAGGGACCTAGAATAACCACTTGGGATTATAGAGGACTAAAGTAAGCTGGAAAGCTTTTAAGAATGAGGAGGAACAGGAGGCCTATTGGGGAGATAGTCAGAATTTATGGTTAGAAAAGCGAGCTATCAGGAGAAATGGAGTGAATAGAAAGTCATGTGGACTATAAGACATAGGATAACAAATGAAGGAATAGTGTATGGAAAGTAATAACAACAAGCTGGGTGTTGGTACCTGTAATCCTAGCTACCCCCAAGACTGAGATCTGAGGATACTGGTTTTAATCCCACACAAGCAGAGAAGTCTGTGAGACTCATATCTCCAATTAACAAGAAAAAAGCTGGAAGTAGAGTTGTGGCTCAAGAGCTAGAACACTAGAGCAAAGGAAGGGGTAACACTGTCCAAAGAGAAATGTACTCATTATCTGACTTATGAAATGGTAACTCCTCTGTACATCACCTTTATAATAACGAGAGAGAGAGAGAGAGAGTGTGGCAGAGACAGAAACTAGTCTTTTTTTTTTTTTTTTTGGGTCCGGTCGTGGGCCTGAACTCTGGGCCTGGGCGCTGTCCCTCAGCTCTTCAGCTCAAGGCTAGCACTCTACCACTTGAGCCACAGCGCCACTTCCGGCTTTTTGTTTTCTGCTTATGTGGTGCTGAGGAATCGAACTCAGGGCCTCATGCATGCAAGGCAAGCGCTCTACCACTGAGCCACCTTCCCAGCCCTCTTTTTTTTTTTTTAATCAGTCATGGGGCCTAAACTCTGGGCCTGGGCGCTGTCCCTCAGCTCTTTAGCTCAAAGCTAGTGCTCTACCACTTGAGCCACAGCACCACTTCGGGCTTTTTCTGCTTATGTGGTGCATCAAATCGAACCCAGAGCCTCATGCATGCAAGGCAAGCACTCTACCACTGAGCCACCTTCCCAGCCCCCAGAGCACTAATCCTGAATGAAAAAAACAGGCCAGAGCACAAGGTACACAATTACACACACACACACACACACACACACACACACACACACACGGAAGATTGAGGCTAAATTCATTCCACATCTGCAATCTGCTCTGGTCTTGCCTCTAATAGAACTTGTTGCCATCATAGGGATGCTGACCTATGGTCAGTGACAAAGAACAAAGGAGATTAAATCTATACTGTGGCAAGGACCCGTGGAGGATGGGGAAGGAGACCCCAAGAACAAACAGGTTCTCTTACCTTGATAGGGCGGGGAATGTCAGGTTTCTTCCAGCGAAGGACAATCTGTCCAGCAACTGTGACCCCATAGAAGAGGTAGTTGATGAAACCCACGTAGTTGATAAGTGTGTACATGTCACTGGTGACCAGCATTAGTAGAGTGGAGAGACACTAGGGAAACAGGGGTTCATCACAGTGATGAGGAGGGAATTGGGAGTCTGGAAAGTCAGGGGGTATTCCTCCCCTCCACATAGACTATACTAAATAAAATAGGGTCGTAAGCATATCAAGGTGGAGACTTCTCACCCTTAGTAGTCCAGTTGTTACTCCACATTTATTGGTAGGTCCTTCCTTCTCTTCCTTCCTTCTCTTCCTTCCTTCCTTCCTTCCTTCCTTCCTTCCTTCCTTCCTTCCCTCCCTCCTTCCTTTTTTCCTTCCCTCCTTCCCTTTGCACTAGCACTGAGGCTTGAACTCAAGGCCTGGGCACTGTCCCTCACATTTTTGGCTCAAGTTGAGTCATGCCTCTACTTCTGGCTTTTTGGTGGTTAGTGGCAGTCTGATGGACTTTCCTGCCCAGGCTAGCTTTGTTTCATGATCCTCAGATCTCATTTTCCTGAGTTGTTAAGATAACAACACACATAAGCCACTAGTACCTGGCAGGAAGTTCTCTCTTATTGCAAAGGTATAATCAAAATATTTAACCATGGTATGCCATGGAGACTATCCATTCACACTATAGTCACTTGGCTCTGTCTCAGCCCTAGTTTCATTTTATATATTTCTCTTGGTTATATTTCAAGCAAATTTACTTTTCATTTTTCCCCCTCCCTTTAGGGAAGATTATTAACTGAAGATTAAAGCTTTGTTCTTGTCCCCATCCTTTTCTTATGGCTGAGTCATCTAATTTATTTTCTTTTTTTCCCCTTTTTAAAATGGACAAACAGTTACATAACCATGTTTAATTGTAGCCTTCTGATAATAGGAATTCATTTAACCTTCATAATATTTCTATGAGGTTTTCTTGATGAAGGTCACTTCCCAACTTTAAAGTCATCTCTGTGGCTCTCAGAAAATCAACTGTGCTCTTGCTTTATGATTATCTGTGAAGGCCAAAGAAAGGTACTGTCCTCTCCTGAAATCTGATGGTGAGAAGATTTTTTAATGATTGGATAAGCCAGATTTTGTTGCCCTTGCCCTGCAGCCAAAGAATCGCATCAGCTGCTCAGAAGAAAAAAAAGAAAAGTAGCCCAGTGCCTCATGGCTGTAATCCTAGCTACTCAGGAGGCTGAGATCTGAGGATCGCAGTTCAAAGCCAGCCCAGGCAAGAAAGGCAGTGAAACTCTCATCTCCAATAAACCACCAGAAAACCAGAAGTGGTGCTGTAGCTCAAGTGGTAGAGAGCTCACCTTGAGCTGAAGAGCTGAGAGACAGTGCCCAAGCCCAGAGTTCAAGCCCCATGACCAACAAAAAGAAAAAAGAAAAAGAAAAAAAGAAAAGAGAAAAAGATAGGTGGCTCACTGAGAATACTGTCTTTTCCCCTCATCTCCTGCGATGAACCCATCATGACCTTCACTCTCCGCCTGAACATTCTGAAATTCCCCCAGGAAGCACTGGCCACTTCTCCAGTGCACTGAAGCCATTTTTAATATTCTATTCAAGATTCAGAAGAATAAAAATAACAAGTCAATGATGACATGTGTTTGCTCTATCCTTTATCTCTCTAGGGACATTTTACCCCTGTGTCCTCTCTATTCTAAATTTTCCTTTTTCTAACTTTAGGTAATCAGTCTTCTTCTCTTTATAAGATTTTTTTGTCTCCTTATTTTGGTGTATCCTTAACACTAAATTTGTTTCAGTGACATTTTCTAAGAGATGGACAGGGTGCCCTGGGGCAAAAAGGTAAGAGGTCAGAGAGGAGCAGTGGGTGGGTGAGTGCCAGAACCAGCCCCAAGCAGAGGCTACGCACACCAGGGCTACACCCCGAGAGAAAAAGTGACTGAAAACAGGAGGAAGTCTTTGAAGACTGCAGAATTCTAAGCCAATCACTTGCAACTGCCTCGCCTTCCACCCCAGAGGAATGAGGAAAGAGGAAAAAGAGCCAGCCTGAGAGTTTTAAGATATTTGCCCTCAAGATCCTTCCTTATTATATCCTTTGTTAGTGGTGGTGTTGGTTCTGGGGCTTGAACTCAGAGCCTGGGCGCTGTCTCAGAGCTTTTCTGCTCAGCTCTAATGCTCTACCACTTTGAATCATAGATCTACTTCTGGTTTTCTACTAGTTGATGGAGATAAGAGCCCCAGGGACTTTCCTGACCAAGCTGGTTTTGAACTGCTATCCTCAGATCTCAGCCTCCTGAGTAGCTAGGATTTCAGGTATGAGCTATCAGTGTCTGGCTTGTTACATTATTTAGTATCAATAAAGCCAATGAATATAGTTTCTAGGCTATCTAAGGCCTGAGGAGCAGACCACGTGTGTGTGTGTGTGTGTGTGTGTGTGTGTGTGTGTGTGTGTGTGTTTAAAACTATGGACTCCCAGGTGAGCATAAGCACAAAGAAGAATGTGTGTTGGGCTAGTGGCAGTCAGGAAAGGCCCTTACTGTGAAGAGCAGAGCTGGGATTGGGGTGCAGCGCTTCACGTGGATCATGGCCAACACGCTGGGAAGGTGGCCTTCTCTGGCTCCAGCAAAGAACAACCTAGCAGAGAGAAAAGCAGGTCAGCTTGGGATAGCCATGGACCATCCATCATGCCAGGGTTCCCTCACCCACGCCTACCATCTGCCCATACCACTCTCCAACCAGGACCCTGCCTTTGTATGCACATTTTCCACCCACAAGTCATCATAGGACCTGTATCACAAATGCATGTGTGTAGGCCATCCAGAGTCTGATAAAAGTTTCTGGATGTGTGGTCACCCTGGGTGTGGTTTGGCTGGCTCAGGACACTGATTGGACTGTCACTTTGCACCACTCCTAATCTAATGATGCAGGTCCTTTACAAATGAGCTATTTATTTATTTACTTATTTGCAAGTCCTAGGGCTTGAACTCAGAGCCTGGGCACTGTCCCTGAGCTTATTCTGCTCAAGGCTAGTAGCACTCTTGAGCCACAGTGCCACTTCCAGCTTTTTCTCTTTATGTGGTACTGAGGAATCGAACCCAGAGCTTCATGCACGCTAGGCAAGCACTCTACCACTGAGCCACCCCACCTGAGCTATATTTTAATGCTGTTACTGGGTCTTGAATTCAGGGCCTGAGCACTCTCACTGGACTATTTTCACTCAAAGCTGGCATTCTACCACTTGAGCCACCTACTTGTAGGTTTTTTTTTGCTGTTTAATTGGAGAGAGGAGTTTCTCAGATTTGTCTGCCCAGCTGGCTTCAAATCTTGATCCTTAGATCTCAGCGTCCTGAGTAGCTAGGATTACAGGCATGAGCTACTGGTGCCTGATCTAAAAATGGGTCTTCTTGACCCACAAAGGATACAGATTCTCTGATACACTTGTAGGGACTGAATTGTATGTGAGAAACTTTATTTTTTTTCCATTCAGAAGGTAGTTGCTTCAACCAGGGTTGAGAGTGAGCAGGAGACAGAAAAGGGTCAGGTAGGAACCTGGGGGACTTGGAGAAATGTTCTGGGTGGTGGTCACATGACTATGAATAGCTGCCAATGCTCATGAGATTGAATACTTATCATCTGTAAATTTAGTTAATTAATTAATTTTTTTGTTCGTCATGGGGCTTGAACTCTGGGCCTGGGCTCTGTCCCTGAGCTCTTGAGCTCAAGGCTAGTGCTCTACTACTTGAGCCACATCACCACTTCTGGTTTTCTGGTAGTTAATTGGAGATAAGAATCTTACGGACTTTCCTGCCCAGGCTGGCTTTGAACCAGGATCCTCAGATCTCAGCCTCTTGAGTAGCTAGGATAGAGGCGTGAGCCACTGGCGCCCAGCTAAGAATATTTTGTTTTTTTAAAAAAAGATTATATAAGAACATATGCATGGGACTGGGAAGGTGGCTCAGTGGTAGAGCGCTTGCCTTGCATGCATGAGGCCCTGGGTTCGATTCCTCAGCACCACATAAGCAAAAAGAAAAAAAGCCGGAAGTGGCGCTGTGGCTAAAGTGGTAGAGTGCTGGCCTTGAGCTGAGGGACAGCACTCAGGCCCAGAGTTCAGGCCCCATGACCAGACCCAAAAAAATAAAATAAATAAATAAGAACATATGCACAATGTAACATTACATTTAAAAGGAGACAGAAAGAACCGAAAACTATGATTCCAAGCTAGGCATGGAGGAGTACACCTGCAATCCAAGCACTAGGAAGGCAGAGGCAGGAGAATTGAGAGTTTCAGGCTAACTTGAGCTACATAGCAAGTGTATGTGAAGCAGAAAAGAAGGAAGTTAGGAAGGAATGAATACTGTGATTTTAATAGCTTAAAAAATTGCTTTAAAAGAAAATTCCCTGGAAAAAGTAAAACGGTGCTGGTGGCTCACACCTATAATCCTAGCTACTGAGGAGGCTGTGATCTGAGCATCAAGGTTTGAAGGCAGCACCTCAGAGGAAGGGGATGGTGTGATAGGGACAAAAACACAGAATTAGCACAGTGGGAGGTGTGTGTGTGTGTGTGTGTGTGTGTGTGTGTGTGTTTGCAATAGTGTGTCCATGTAGCCCACTGAACTCAAAATCTTCCTATGTTAGCTTCCCAAGTGCTGTGATTACAGGTATGTTATACACGCCCAGAGCATGCAGGGAGTTCTAAAGAGAACTATTATTTACTTTGTAATTTGTATATGAGGTAAGAGTGAACGAACGAGCAGCAGCTGTCGGAAGTGCACTTGTCATCATGTGCTACCTAGACCAGTGTCACTAGTTTCATGCAATCACAGGCATCCCAGCCCCCTCCCCATGCCATCTCCCCTTGCCATGCAGCCTCATGCATTAGACTGAGCCCTGGGACTTGATGGGACTCTTTGTCCTCACAGCCGGGGTCCTACCCTTCCTCTACACTCAGCCAGGACCAAGAATAATTGCCTGGGTTCATTAGCATTCTCAAATGTCCTAGCTCCTCAGAATCATCCTTTCAGTATCCCAGAGCACAAAAGAGTAAGAGAGATAAGGGAAAGAGGAGAAAGGAAAGAACTGGAAGATGAGCAGAGGAGGTCTGGGTGGGTGAGGTCAGGCCTCTGAACCAGAGGCCGAGCACACCATGCACCACTGTCTCCTGCATGCATGCACAACTATGCCACATGCACGCAGGCCACTGAGTGGCCTGCCCCCAGGGACAAACCCCACTCTAAAGTGACTGTAGCCAGTCACTGTCCTCCAACAGCCTCATGTGTCACTGCTCTTCCACTGTTGGCCTTTGGCTCGGGCTTCCAGGTAGCCACTGCTCCTGTGTAACATGCACACGAGGTTTCTGTGGGTGAGTGTCATAGGCTTCTTTCCTGCCCTACCCTGGATCCTAAAAACATGGTCATTTCACAGGAACTCCTCCCTGACATTAAGGAATCATTTATTTATCTTGTTTTTCCAGTACTGAGATTTGAACTCAGATCCTTGATCTTTCTTAGCTGGCTCTCTACTACTTGAGCCATGCCTCTAGCTTTTTGCTGGTTATTTTGGAGAGGGAGTCTTACAGTCTTCTTTGACTGGATTGGCTTTGAATCTCAATTCTTAGATCTCAGCCTCCTGAGTAACTAAGACTCCAGGTGTGGGCAACCAGCATCCAGTTAGCACTTGCCTGTTGAGTAGCGAACAGACCTAAATCCACATGACACTCTGAGTGCTCTTATTCCATGTACAGTCTTGTTCTAGAATATTGGGGAAGCCAGATCCAGAGGCCCCAAGACAGGAATGCCTCCTGGTCCCTTTCAGAGCAGGGTTTCTTCTTAGCTAGCAGCAGCCTGTGTTTAGATGAGTGGGACTACAGCCAAGACACTGCTGCCAATCACAGCCCTTGCTCCTTCAGAAACCACACAGCCTACCACAGGTGAAACACCTACAACCTGCACGCCATATATACTGGTCACTGTGTGCATAGCATACCCCTCAGCACCCACACTGACACATACACATTTCTGCAAAGCTACTTCCGAAGGAGCCTACACAGACCCCTGCTGACAGAGACAAGCCCACCATATCCACACAGAACAATGCATAGGGCAGAATGGTCCAGGAAGGGCCCAAGCAAAACTCACCGGGAGGAGGTGAAGAGAGAGCCATTAACTCCTCCAAAAGTGGACAGGGCCACAGAGATGGGCATGATCCAGGCCATGACACCCAAAAGCTTCTCTCCAAAAGTCTGGGAAAAAAAAACAAGGTGGGGAGTAGAAAAGGAGAATTACAACACTCTACCCCAGCTTTTGTCTCCCTTCCCCACCTGCAGATTCTCTCTGGCCAATCAACTCCAGAGCCCAGGCCCTTGTTGCCATATCTACTGGCAACTACACATCAGGAGTCAATTCATGCTTTGGGATCACCAAAGGATCGATCCAGTGTATGTGGCAAAAATAATAGTGATGAATTAACACTTATGTGGCAAAAATAATAGTGATGAACTAACACTTATTATCATTTTTTATGAATGAAGAAATTTGGGAATATAGTAGTAACTTATCTCAGTGCCCTCCTTGGAGATGGAAACCAAGTGGGGTGAGACCAGGCCTCCCAGGGAAAGGGAGAGATCTAGATAGGCTTGTGAGTTACACAGGCCTGAATTCAAATCCTAGCTCTACCCTGAGTAAAGATTGTAATTTCTTTTTCCAATGCTGGGGATGAAACCTAGGGTTTTGCAACCACTGACATACATTTCTAGCCTGAGGTTTATAACTTTTGTGTGTGTGTGCTGGTACTGGGGCTTGAACTCATAAGTCTTGTTTAGCTTTTTCGCTCAAGGCTAGCACTCTACTATTGAGCCCCAGCGCTATTTCCAGCTTTTTGCTAGTTAACTGGAGATAAGAGCCTTTCAGATTTGTTTGCATTGGCTAGAATTGAACCATGATCCTCAGAACTCAGCCTCCTGAATAGCTGGGATTAAAGGCATGAGCCATCAGCCTGGGTTATTTATTTTTTGAGGATAGGTCTTATTATGTAACCCAGACTAGTCTCTTCCTCAGGATTCTTCTGCCTTACCCTCCTGAATGCTGCAAGTTTATAATTGTTTTCTCCTTCCTTCCTTCCTTCCTCCCTCCCTCCCTCTTTTTTTTTTTGCATGGTACCAAGGATTTTTTTTGGGGGGGGGGGGGTCTGGTTGTGGGGCCTGAACTCTGGGCCTGGGCACTGTCCCTCAGCTCTTCAGCTCAAGGCTAGAGCTCTACCACTTGAGCCATAGTGCCACTTCCGGCTTTTTTCCTTTTGCTTATGTGGTGCTGGGGAATTGAACCCAGGGCCTCAGGCATGCAAGGCAAGCGCTCTACCACTGAGCCACCTTCCCAGCCAGGTACCAAGGATTTAATCCAGGCTCTTGTCCTTGCTAGGCAAGTACTCTACCATTTGAACTTGCCCCCAGCTCACAAGTTTGTATTTTTTTAGTGATGGTCTTACAGCTTGAACTCAGGGCCTGGGCACTGTTCCTGAGCTTTTGTGCTCAAGGCTAGCACTCTACTACTTGAGCCACAGTTCCTTTCTGGCTTTTCAGTGTTTAATTAAAGATAAGAGAGTCTCAGAAGCTGGGCACTGCTGGCTTACACCTGTGAGCTACTCTGAGATCTAAGGATCTTAGTTAGAAGCTAGCCTAAGCAGGAAACTCCATGAGACTCTTAGCTCCAATAAAGTACTCAAAAGAAAAAAAACAACAACATAGGGGGTCTGGGAAGTTGGCTCAGTGGTAGAGAGCTTACCTTGCATGCATGAGGCCCTGGGTTCGATTCCTCAGCACCACATAAGCAGAAAAAAAAAGCCGGAAGTGGCGCTGTGGCTCAAGTTGTAGAGTGCTAGCCTTGAGCTGAAGAGCTGAAGGACAGCGCCCAGGCCCAGAGTTCAGGCCCCACGACTGGACCAAAAAAAAAAGAAAAAAAAATAGCTGGGCACCAGTGGCTCACGCCTGTAATCCTAGCAACTCAGGAGGCTCAGATCTGAGGATCATAGGTCAAGGCCAGACAGGGCAGGAAAGTCCATAAGACTCTTACCTCCAATAAACCACTAGAAAACCAGAAGTGGTGCTAGGGCTCAAGCAGTAGAGTGCTCACCTTGAGCCGAAGAACTCAGGGACAGCGCCCAAGCTCAGAGTTCAAGCCCTAGATCTACAAAAAAAAAAAAAAAAAAAAAAAACCCAAAAAAACAAAAACCAGAAGTGGCACTGTGGGCTCAAGTGTTGCTAGCCTTAAGCACAGAGAGGCTCAAGGACAGAGCCCAGGCTCTGAGTTCAAGCCCCAGGACCAAAAAAAAAAAAAGGTCTCAGGAAGCTGAGTACCTGTCTGTGGCTCACACCTGTAATCCTAGCTACTCAGAAGCTGTGATCTGAGGATTGAAGTTTGAAGCCAGCCCAGGCATAAAAGTCCCCAAGAGACTCTTACCTCTGATTAACCATTCAAAAACCAGAAGTGGCTCTGTGGCTCAAAGTGGTAGAGCATTAGCCTTAAGTAAAACAGCTCAAGGACAATGCCGAGGCCCTGAGTTCAAGCCCCATGACCAATTGAAAAAAGATCTCAGTGACTTTCTGCCTGAGCTGGCTTTGAACTGTGAACCTCAGATCTTAGCCTCCTGAGTAGGTAGACACAAATCACTAGTTCCCCACAGGCTTCTAATTTTTTTTTTTTTTTTGGTCAGTCATGGGGCTTGAACTCTGGGCCTGAGCACTGTCCCTCAGTGATTCAGCTCAAGACTTAGCGCTCTACCACCTGAGCTACAGCACCACTTCCAGTTTTCTGGCCCTTTACTGGAGATAAGAGTTTCATGGATTTTTCTGCCCATGAGGGTTTTGAACTGTGATCCTCAGATCTCAGCTTCCTCAGTAGCTAGGATTACAGGCCTGAGCCACCTGTGCTGGCTAAATTTGTAATTTTTGAGCCTCATTTTCCCATCTATAAAATAGAGATAGGTCCCAACTTATAGCATGATTTCTAAATGTGTAAACTAGTTTATGCTGGTGGAAACATATGAATCAACCAAACTTTGATTCTAAATGTATAGATTATAGTCTTTGTGTTCTGAAGAGACTAAAAGGTTGTGGGCTGGCTTTCTTAGTGCTCTGAGTCAGGTTTATTGCCCGTGCCAGGGGAGAGATTGTCTAGGCCAGATGTCCTGCTGTGTGGGAAGTTGTTGGTCATAGGAACAGGCTGCCAAGGGAGGTGGCAGGCCCTTTTAATTTTGTCTCCTGAGAAGAGACACAGAATGACTTTGGCAGGGTGGAGTATGGCTCAGCCTGAGGCTAGAAGCAGCATTGCTTCCAGGCCTTTCTCCGCAGTCAAGGATCTCAGGATTTCCCAAAGAGCAAGAACGACTCCAATGATTGAACTGTTTACCAGCACCCACTTTTCCCTGATAAGGGAAGGAATCAGCTTATATGATTCCTAGAGGAGGGAATGAAGGCAGAGAAATGAGTGATTACTTTATGTAATGGTATGAAAGTCTCCCCTATATGATCCTCAACGTCCAGAGTTTACAGTGTCTAAGCTCAGGAGCCAGGACATTTATTTTGTAAAGTATTGGATACCAGGCATTTCAGCTTCACAGACTCAGCTCTGCCATGTAGCTACTCTAGACCAAACCAGCCATCAGTTTGCTCCTGGACACTTGTAAATTCTGCCCTGATGATTTGGCATGATGCCACCTGTGTGAGATCATGGATCAGGAAAAAAGTATGTGGGGCTGACTCTATGTCAGCGTTCTAGGTTTGAGACCCTGAGTTCGATTTCTTACCACAGCGACTGCGTTTGATGCCAGCAGCTCCTGGGGGGACATTGCAGTGACATACGCGACATTGGCAAAGACATACACAAATGTGACCAGTGGGATGGAGATGAAGATGGCTCTGGGAAGGTTCCTGTAGAGGGAGAGGAGGTGAGAGGGAAGCCTATGCTGGCACACCTGTTCTGCCAATGAATCGGCCTGAGCCTGGCTCTTGTAGCATCTCTGGGCTTCCTCACCCTGGGAGGTGGGTTTTATCTCAGTTGGGACAAGGTACATGTAGAAATGAAATGGCTGGTGCTGACTGCTTGCTTCTTGACCCAGATCTCTGCCACAGACTGCCTCAAGTCACAAGGACCAGCCTGTCCTGTAACAGGGAAATGGCTCAGAGCCTTGAGGGACACAATTCATTCTCTAAGGCAGCTGACTCTTAGTCAACACAGTATGCAGCTTTTAACCTGCCTGGGGACATTCATAAGACTCTGTCTTTCCTCTGGACAGGGTGGATGGCAAATGGTTTCAGTTCCTGGGAAATGAGCTGTTCCTTTAGGACAAACCAGAGCAAGGTCAGGATGGGGACTGGAGAAGGGGTCAGTGCACACCTGCTCCCTATGCCCAGCAGCAGTTACTGTTGAGGCCTCTCAAAGGGGGAGGGGATGAGCTGGGCTATTGAAACTCACTTGTAGGGATCCACAAGTTCCTCCGTCACATAATTAAGAAAGTTCCACCCTCCATAGGCAAAGGATCCCTGAAGGAAAGCCAGGGCAATAAGGCCAATGTCAGGTTCCTGGAAATTCTCAAACGCATTCTTTGGCTCCAGCCAGAAGAATTCGCCTGTGGACAAAATGGACAAGAGGCTGTTCAGAGAGACAAGTTTAGGTGCCCCCATGCAGGCTCACTGCCCCACCTCTACCCCCTCCGCCTGTGAACATACTCCAGCTTTTTTTTTTTTTTTTTTTGGGTCTGGTCATGGGGCCTGAACTCTGGGCCTGGGCGCTGTCCCTCAGCTCTTCAGCTCAAGGCTAGCACTCTACCACTTGAGACACAGCGCCACTTCCGGCTTTTTTTCTTTTTGCTTATGTGGTGCTAAGGAATCGAACCCAGGGCCTCAAGCATGCAAGGCAAGCGCTCTACCACTGAGCCACCTTCCCAGCCCATTTTTTTTCTTTTTCTTTTTTTTCTTTTTTTTGTCAGTTGTGGGGCTTGAACTCTGAGCCTGGGCACTGTCCCTCAGCTCTTTAGCTCAAGGCCAGCACTCTACCACTTCAACCATGGTGCCACTTCCAGTTTTCTGGTGGTTTATTGGAGATAAGAATCTCATGGACTTTCCTGCCCGGCTGGCTTTGAATCGTGATCCTCAGATCTCAGCCTCCTGAGTAGCTAGGATTACATAAGTGAGCCACTGGCACCCGGCTACTCTAGCTTTATAGTCTATGGTGAACCCAATGTGTCATAGAAGTGGAGTTAAAAGGAGCAAGGAAGTTCAGGTGCTGAACTTCCCAGTGCCTCAGAGCCCTAAATTCATATAGCCTGGGTTGAAAGCATGATTCTGAATGCTGCTTTTAAAACAACAAGGAAGTGGCACTGTGGCTCAACAGGTAGAACGCTCGCCTGAGCTCAAGAGTGCAGGGACAGTGTGCAGGTCCAAAGTTCAAGCTCCATGACCAAAAAATAAAGTTGTTCTTTAAGGGGCTGGGAAGGTGGCTCAGTGGTAGAGTGCTTCCCTTGCATGCATGAGGCCCTAGGTTCAATTCCTCAACACCACATAAGAAGAAAAATCTGGAAGTGGCGCTGTGGCTCAAGTGGTAGAGCACTATCCTTGAGCTGAAAAGCTGAGGGACAGTGTCCAGGCCCAGAGTTCAGGCCCCACAACTGACAACAAACAAACAAACAAACAAGGGGCTGGGAAGGTGGCTCAGTGGTAGAGTGCTTGCCTTGCATGCATGAGGTCCTGGGTTCCATTCCTCAACACCACATAAGCAAAAAGAAAAAAGCTGGAAGTGACGCTGTGGCTCAAGTGGTAGAGTGCTAGCCTTGAGCTGAAGAGCTGAGGGATAGTGCCCAGGCCCAGAGTTCAGGCCCCACGACCAGACCCCCCCCCCAAAAAAAAACAAAAAGAAACAAACAAACAAAAGCTAATGTGAAAAGAAAGGCCAGGGTAAATTGGAAACAGTATTGGACCCTTGGTAGTGTCCTGACCATCTTCCCCGATATCTACGCTTGTGCATTTTCATGACGAAAGCATCCAAGAGGGCTGGGAATCTGGTTCGGTGATAAAGTGCTTGCCTACCATGCATGAAGCCCAGAGTTTGATTTCTCAGTACCACACACACAGAAAAAGCCAGAAGTGGTGCTATGGCTCAAGTGGTAGAGCTCTAGCCTTGAGCAAAAAGAAGCTCAAGGGCAGTGCCAGGCCCTGAGTTCAAGCCCCAGGACTGGCAACAAAAAAAAAAAAAAAAAAAAAAAGGAAGAGAGGGGGAGAGAGAGAGAGAAAGCATCAAGAACAACAAACATAAGTTTCTTTGTAGTTCAAGCTTGTTAACATCTTTTCTCCTTTCTTCTTTCTTTCCCTTCCTGTTTTTCCTTCCTTCTTTCTTTTTTCTTTTTGTCTGGGGCCTGAACTCTGGGCCTGGGTACTGTCCCTCAACTCAAGTGGTCTACCACTTGAGCCACAGTGCCACTTCCAGCTTTTTCTGCTTATGTGGTACTGAGGAATTGAACCCAGAGCCTCAGACATGCAAGGCAAGGACTCTACCACTGAGCCACCTTCCCAGCCCATTCCTTTTTTCTTTCCTTCCTCCCTCCCTCTTTCCTCCTCACCTTTCCTCTCCTCTCCTCTCCTTACCCTCCCGCTCTTCCTCTCTCTCTTTATTTCTCTTACCAGTACTAAGTTTGAACTCAGGGCTTTGTACTCTTGCACCCTAGCTCAGCTCTTTTGCTCAAGGCTGATGCTCTACTACTTGAGCCACACCTCCACTTCTGGCTTTTTCTTTTTGGTCGGTCGTGGGGCTTGAACTCTGGGCCTGGGCGCTGTCCCTCAGCTCTTCAGCTCAAGGCGAGCGCTCTACCACTTGAGCTACAGCGCCACTTCCGGTTTTCTGGTGGTTTATTGGAGATAGGAGTCTCACGGTCTCTCCTGCCCGGGCTGGCTTTGAACCGCGATCCTCAGATCTCAGCCTCCTGAGTAGCTAGGATTACAGGCGTGAGCCACCAGCGCCCAGCTAATATATAGGCAATTTAATCTTTTTTTTTTTTTTTGTCGGTCGTGGGGCTTGAACTCTGGGCCTGGGTGCTGTCCCTCAGCTCTTCAGCTCAAGGCTAATGCTCTACCGATTGAGCTACAGCACCACTCACTTCTGGCTTTTTGATGGTTAACTGGAGATAAGAATTTCAGAGAGGGCTGGGAAGGTGGCTCAGTGGTAGAGCGCTTGCCTTGCATGCTCGAGGCCCTGGGTTCGATTCCTCAGCACCACATAAGCAAAAAGAAAAAAGCCGGAAGTGGCGCTATGGCTCAAGTGGTAGAGCACTATCCTTGAGCTGAAGAGCTGAGGGACAGCGTCCAGGCCCAGAGTTCAGGCCCCACGACCGGACCCAAAAAAAAAAAAGAATTTCAGAGAGTTTTTGGTCTGGGTTGGTCTGGTTTGAATCATGATCCTCAGATCTCAGCCTCCTGAGTAACTAGGATTACAGACATAAGCTCCTCAGTGCCCAGATATCTTGTCCCGTTGTAAGGTGCAGCTTGGTCTCCTTTTTCATGGTATTTTAGTAATGAGCCTTTAAATTGCCTTCCCAGCGCTTTCCGCAGTGTCTTACACACTATGGCTCTCATCAAAGGTTGCTGGATTGCAGGGTATAGCTCAGTGGTAGAGAGCCTGGCTAGCACACACTTGCACAAAGCCCTGGTTGGATTTCTAGCACCAAAGACTTAATCCAATTGATTAAGATAATCAGGAATACACTATAGCAGAAATTTGTTTTCTGGAATAAGTTTCCCCTCACTGTCAGCAGTGCTTGTGGGCAGGCAGGAGGTCTCCCCGTTTTTCATCTGATTTGCAATTGACACTGAACAGAGCCTAGTGGTGCAATGGGTACCATGGAAACCAAATACAAGACTCTCAGCTTAGAAAGGACCAAATCCAATGGGGAATGTTGGCAGGGGCCCCGGGAATGTAGGGCTCTCTTTTGCAGAGAATATGAGTAATTTTGAAAAATAAAATGCTCCTTTGTTCACCATTTTAAGATATGGACAGGGCACCAAAGAAGATGCAGGATGCTTTGCTTTACAGAGATTTGGGGTCTTTACCTGGCTGTGCAAGCATGGGGAAGTAGATCTTTGCAAGATGAGGTGGTGGTGGTAGTTGCATTCCTAACCCTGGGGAAAACGGCTTGTAATCTCTTTATGGAACAAGCAAAGAACTCTGGAAGCCAGAACTGAGAGATCTCAGGATGTGTACATGCAAGTTGTGTGGGGCCCTGCTGGCCCATGACACTCACCTTTGCATATCTGTACAATTCCCATGATGATGATCAGGGCCAGGGCCAGGAGCTTCCCAGCTGTAAAGATGTCTTGAACCCGAGTGGCCCACCGCACACTGGAGCAGTTGACCCATGTGAGAAGCACTGGAATGACAGAGATGCCCAGACATGTCCTGAGAAGCTACATGAGGCTGCACAAGTGCTCTTCTTGCTCCTGAGAATGGAACTGTGACAAGTGAGCTAAACATTTCACAAGCTCAGCTCCAGTGACCAGAGACTTTGGCTCTGTTAACCAGATACAAATAAGGATTACATGCCCCAAATTAGAGCTTGGTCAGAGCACACCCAGGGCTAGAAGCCAAAACCTGGCAGGGAAGTTAGGCACGAGTATGGACTTAGTATTCAAGCCATTATCTCTTCAAGGGGAACCATAAGCAGCTACTGAGATCTTGGAAGTCGCTTTTCTGAGCCCGATTTTGAGGCAAGAGATGTTTAGGGACTCTTTTTATTTGTCAAGGTATAATTTGTATGATTTTTTTTTTTTTGGCTTTTGTGGTGCTGAGGAATTGAACCCAGGGCTTCATGCACAAGAGGCAAGCACTCTACCACTAAGCCAACTTCGTAGCCCTTGTCAAGGTATAATTTGTATCTTGTGAAATTCACTCTGTGTGTGTGTGTGTTTGTGTGTATATGTGTGTGTGTGTGAATGTGTGTATATGTTGTGATGCTGGAGATGGAACCTAGGGCCTCATATATACTGGGCAAGCACTCTATTACTGAGCTACAACTCTAGTACTATTATTATTATTATTATTATTAATTTCAGAGATTTGCTCTGTAGCACAGTCTGGCCTCAAACTTCTGGTCCTCCTGCCTCAGCCTGTCAAGAACTGGAATGACAGGTGTTTATCTCTACAACCGGCTCAAATTTCATTATTTTTTTCTTTCTGTTATAGGGTTTGAACTTGAAGCCTGGTACTTGTTTGACTTATTTGCTCAACTGGTACTTTACCACTTAAACCATACTTCCAGCCAAGATTTCTCTTGGTTATTTTGTTAATACCAGGGCTTGAACTCAGTACCTTGCACTCTCATTTGGCTTTTCTTGCTTATGGCTGGTGCTCTACCACTTGAGCCACACCCCAACTCTAGTTGGTTATTTTGGAAATGGAGTCCCTCAGACTTATCTTTCTCTGCCAGGTCTCCTGTGTAGGATTATAGATGTGAGCCACTGCTGTCTAGTTAAAATTCACCTTTTTTAAGACTCTAATTTAATGAGATTTTTTATATGCTTTTTTATTGTAAAAGTGCTATACAGAGGGTTACAGTTACATGAACAAGGTAATGAGTACACTTCCTATTGAGCATTGTTGCCTCCTCCTTCATTTCGCCCCTACCATCCCTTCCCTCCCACCTCCACAACTACTCATGATGTTATAAAGTTCTTTTTCAATAATTTAATGAGATTTGACAAATGTATCTACATTGTTTAATTATTACCTCACTCACTATATAGAACTTTCTAACACTCTACAAGGTTGTCTATTTACCTCTGGCCGACACTAGTTTGATTTCTGTCCCTATAGTAGTAGTTTTGCTTTTTCCAGAATATCACATAAATAAACAGAACCATAAAATATGTGGGTTTTTGCATCTGGTTTCTTTCACCTAACATAATAATGCTTTGAAATCTATTTATGTGGGGCTGGGAAGGTGGCTCAGTGGTAGAGTGCTTGCCTTGCATGCAAGAGGCCCTGGGTTCGATTCCTCAGCACCACATAAGCAGAAAAAGCAGGAAGTGGGGATGAGGCTCAAGTAGTAGAGCGCTAGTCTACAGCTGAAGAGCTCAGGGACAGCACCCAGGCCAAGTTCAGGCCCCATGACCGACCAAAAAAAATCTATACACGTTGCTTTACAGTGGTAATTTGTTTTTGTTTTTGTCAGTTGTGGTGCTTGAACTCAGGGCCTGTGTTGTCCCTGAGCTTTTTTTTTTTTTTTGGTCGGTCATGGGGCTTGAACTCTGGGCCTGGGTGCTGTCCCTCAGCTCTTCAGCTCAAGGCGAGCGCTCTACCACTTGAGCTACAGCACCACTTCCGGTTTTCTGGTGGTTTATTGGAGATAGGAGTCTCACAGTCTCTCTTGCCCGGTCTGGCTTTGAACCGCGATCCTCAGATCTCAGCCTCCTGAGTAGCTAGGATTACAGGCGTGAGCCACCAGCGCCCGGCGTCCCTGAGCTTTTTTATTCAAGGCTAATGCTCTACCACTTTGAGATACAGTGCCACTTCTGGGTTTCTAGTAGTTAATTGGAGATAAGAGTTTCACTGACTTTCTGCGGAAAGTTTTGAATCCAATCTTCAGATCTTAGCCTCCTGAGTAGCTAGGATTATAGGTGTGAGCCAGTGGCACTCAGCTTGTTCTTTTTAATTGTTAAAGACTATTCTGGGAGATGGGAAGGGATAGGAAGGGGAAACAGAGGAGGCAGCAATGCTTGATAAGAAATGTACTCATTATCTTCCCATGTAATTGTAACTCCTCTTAACGGTATTTTCACAATTAAAAAAAAAAGACTTTTCAGTTATGCGGCGGTATCCAGTTTTGTTTTGTTTTTCACTCTGATGGACATTTAATTGGCTCCCAGTAAATATAATTGCTATTTAAAAAAAAAAAAAAGCTTGCATAGAGTCTGGTATGATGGTGCATGCCTGTAATCCCAGCAACTGGGAGGCAGGGGCAGGAGTATTGAAAGTTGGAGGCTACCTTGGGCTACATGGTGAAAGACTTTGTCTCAAAAAAATAAAGAAGAGGGGCTGAGAATGTGACTTAGTGGTAAAGTGCTTGCCTAGCATGCATGAAACCCTGGGTTCTATTCCTTAGTACCAGAAGTGGTGCTATGGCTCAATGGTAGAGTGCTAGCCTTGAGCAAAAGAAGCTCAGGGACAGTGCCCAAGCCTTGTGTTCAAGCCCCAGGACTGAAACAAAAAAGAAAGACAGAAAAAAAAGAAAGAAAGGAGGAAGAAAGAAAAGATTTGCTTAGAAGTTTTTGAGTGAGGGCTGGGAAGGTGGCTCAGTGGTAGAGTGCTTGCCTTGCATGCCTGAGGCCCTGGGTTCGATTCCTCAGCACCACATAAGCAAAAAGAAAAAAGCCAGAAGTGGCGCTGTGGCTCAAGTGGTACAGTGTTAGCTTGAGCTGAAAAGCTGAGGGACAGCCCTCAGGCCCAGAGTTCAGGCCCCACAACTGGCCCCCTCCCCCCCAAAAAAAGAAGTTTTTGAGTGAATACTTGTGGTTTTTGAGTGGAGTTTTCGTTTTTATTGAATAAATTCCTAGGAATAGAATTTTGGGTATTTTGGTAAATACACATTTAATTTTATAAACTGAGCCGGGTGCCAGTGGCTCAAGCCTGTAATCCTAGGTACTCAGGAGGCTGAGATCTGAGGATCAGGTTCACAACCAGCCCGGGCAGGAAAAGTCCTTGAGACTCTTATCTCTAAGAAACCACCAGAGAACTGGAAGTGGCACCGTAGCTCAAGTGGTAGAGCGCTTGCCTTGAGCTGAAGAGCTGAGGGACAGCACACAAGCCCAGAGTTCAAGCTCCACAACCAACAACAACAACAACAAAAGAAGTTCAAAGCCAGCCTGGGCAAAGAAATCAGAGAGACTCTTATCTCCAACCAGTAAAAGGACAGAACCGGAGATATGGCTCAAGTGGTAGCTTAAGAAATCTGCAAGTAGGGCTGGGAAGGTGGCTCAGTGGTAGAGCGCTTGCCTTGCATGCCTGAGGCCCTGGGTTCGATTCCTAGCACCACATAAGCAAAAAGAAAAAAGCCGGAAGTGACACTGTGGCTCAAGTGGTAGAGTGCTAGCCTTGAGCTGAAATGCTGAGGGACAGTGCCCAGGCCCAGAGTTCAGGCCCCACAACTGGACCCAAAAAAAAAAAGAAATCTGCAAGTAGACTGGGAAGGTGGCTCAGTGGTAGAGCACTTGCCTTGCATACCTGAGGCCCTGGGTTCGATTCCTCAGCACCACATAAGCAGAAAAAAAAAGCCAGAAGTGGTGCTGTGGCTCAAGTGGTAGAGTGCTAGCCTTGAGCTGAAGAGCTGAGGGACAGCGCCCAGGCCCAGAGTTCAGGCCTCACGACCGGGCCCAAAAAAAAATAAGAAAGAAAAAAGAAAGAAATCTACAATGAAAAAGCTGAGTAAGAGTGCAAGGCTCTGAATTCTAGCCTCAATATTGTCATGGACACACTCACACACACACACACACACACACACATTTCCATTTTTCTAAAGAGGCAACATCACTTTGTCTTCCTGCCAGTAATATATATATACAGATTCCTGTTATTCTGTATCCTTATCAACAACTGTTATTATCAATTTATGCGCCCTCTCTTTATATAACTAATGTGTGTGTGTGTGTGTGTGTGTGTGTGTGTGTGTATTTGTCTGTGAGAGAGAGAGAGAGAGAGAGAGGGAGGAGGGGGAAGGGAGGTCAAGCACAAGCTTGGCTGTTTGGATGGGCAGCAAGAAGGACTATTTCACTGTGGTTTTGATCTGCATTTCCCTAGTGATTAGTGATGCTGAGAGCTAGCAAGGAGGGCTCTCAGCTTTGTTGTTACACTCCTCAAGCCACCCACCAAGCTGTGTGAAGAAGTGTGGTTCTCCGTTTCCAGATGGTTATGAAAAGCTTGAGGACAAGGGAGAAGAAAATTAAAATCCTCTGGCTCCTCCTTTTCCTGAATATAGCGGTGACCAGGACACCCCCTAGTGCTCAAAAGGTACACATCGTCCACATAAAAGCATCAGACTATTTTTATTTCTTCATGCCTCCTGCAAGGACTGAGTCCTGAATGACTGATTAAGTTTTAGCAACACCTTACTGTTAAACTGAGCTTTTATTTTCCAAGCATTTCACAACCTTATTTGATCTGTGCTTGATCTCAGCAGGGCAGAAGCATGCTACATTGCATCCATCTGTGGTCTTCCTTCCTAAAACAACCTTCTCTACCTGACAGACTCCCTATTTTTCAAGAGTCCTGTCTCATTAAGCTTTGTGATTTTATTTATTATTAATAATAGGGCCTGCTGCCTGACACCAGTGGCTCATGCTTGTAGCCCTAACTTCTTAGGAGGCTGAGATCTGAGGA